ATGCTGAGGTGTGCAATTCACAACCGAGGACAAGGTTGTGATTTGCAAAGGGGGGATATGTAGCAGTAACTTAGATGGACTGTCAGTCCTCCAAACTTTGGCCAACACATTCTTCGTCCCCATGTCTACAAGAGAACAATGACTTATTCATTTACCTCCAAGCTTTGTTTACTATCTACAAGTGGTAAGATAGCAACCGGACGTGACCACCTCCTGTTGATTGAGTACTGTGTAAGAACCCCTTTGATGTGCTCAAAATGGCCGCTTATCACAAAGAACTCAAGATCTTTGCAGACATGATGTCTAGCAGGAGTGGGGTTTTGCTGACATGAAACCCTTTGAAGCCGGATCTCCTGTTGAGATGTAACACCCAGGCAAGCTTCAAAGAGACATACCATCTCATTTATGGTTTTAGAGCGCCCCCAAAAGACTGGTTTCATAATTACACCACGAACAAATGTTTTTTTGTATTTCTCATTCTGATAAAAAAAAAGGGAGAAAAGAATTATTGTATTTTCTACGTGATTCAATCATTTGAAACAATGTACTGTTTTAATCACTTCACAAGCAATCTACCTCTGTGTGTTTAATCAATTTAGTGGCGAGAGACTGTGAAGAGGAAGGCAGGTCATGTGACTGTTTTCAGCCAATCACGAGTTTTTCAGAGTCAACAAAATAGACCAGTTTAGCAGCAGTCAGTCAGTCAGAAGAAGACAAAAAAAAGAAGCAGCATGAAGTGAAGAAGTGAGAGGATTAGCTCCAGTTTCCCTTTGGGGACAATTTTCTTTATTTTTATTTTTATTTTTATTTTATTTCATTTTATTTTGTAACTTCAAAGTGGTTGATTCTTCTTTATATCGCGGGACTGGATTTATGCAGGAAGCGAGCTTGATCAGAACTTTTTCAATCAACACGGATCTAGAAGCAGAACCCTGGCTTCCAGCTTGGAGCCTGACCCAAGCCGCTCCGAGGTGTTAGTTTGTACCCACAAGGGACCGCTCTGAAATCGACGACATCGCTGAACCAGCTTCGATCAAGCTCCGGTACCCCGGGACAACCTTAAAAGCATCTGAGTGGTAGGACAGATATACTTTCTCTGTGACGGTGTGCTCAGCTGAGTGGTGGTGAAGGTTCTGGATCATTAAGTTGAGTTGAAGAAGGTTTGGCGAGTTTATTTCACACATAATTCACGTCCCCTCTTAAATCGATGAATTAACAATTTCTTTTATTAATCTTTAAGTTTTCTTAATTTGTAGTGTAGACTAGGTTAAGTGGTTCAGTTAGAATGATGCGAGAGATGATTAAAGGGTGATAAAGTGACGCTCATTGTTAAACTGCAAGGCTTTGATGATAATAGTTTCTGTTGSCAAATAATCTGCTTGTATTGTTACTTCTGAATCAATTAATACAGGGTATATTTTGAAATTTCTGTTCGCCTGTGCGTAATTTATTGGGTTTTGCTCTTTAAACTGGTAGAATTCACTATTCAGTATTTGAGACTGACTTAAAATCTATAAATTCATTTCCTGGATTACTAGGTGGTGCCCCTTTTATTATGCTAATAAATTACGAGGAATTTATGATTTAGCAACTGTCCATAACATCGACAAAATATCACTACACAAGATTCTAATTTTCTGATATGCTGAATTTGAGATTTTCATTTGTTGTCATTTGTAATCATCAAAATTAAACGAAATAAACATTTGAAATATATGAGTTTGTATGTAATATATGAATATAATACACAAGTTTCACTTTTTAAATGGAATTACTGAAATAAATCTACTTTTTTATGATATTCTAATTTTATGACCAGCACCTGTAGAGCAGGAATAGAATTGGGCCCAGGATGGAACCCTGTGGAACCCCGCAGGAGAGTTTCGCTGAGTCAGAGAGAGATTGGCCTAATAAGACTGAGAGAGAGAGCAGTCTGAGAGGTATGATTTGAGATTTGTTAGAAGAGGGAAATGCTTCACAGTGGGAAGCAAGGTCCTGTTCAAACCTTTCTGAAACGTTGTCCTGCTGTCAAAATCATAAATACCAAATTTTCGTAAAAATTGTAAAGTTTTTTTTATTTTTAAAGTTTTGTCTAGAGTTCCTTTGTAAATAAAATATAANTTCAGTTGGTGTGCAATGAATCTAAAATATATGAAAGTTTAATGTTTATCAGTACATTACAGTAAATAATGAACTTTATCACAATATGCTAAATCTTTAAGAAGGACCTGTAAACTCAGTTCATACCTTGGTCCTAAACCCAACCCCCAACCCACCTGTAATTTGTATTCATACCTGGTCCCCACAGTGCACGTTCAGTCCCCACGAGACAGCATTTTCAGGAAAATTGTCCCCATGATGGTGCGGCTGTGGTGACAACACACAAAATAAAACAGTGAAAAAACAAATCAGCACAATAAAACAAAAACTAAAATAACTCTCTCACAGAATATTTTCCAAACTTGCAGGATGAGTTTCACTCCAGACTGCGCTTCATTCGGAGGGGCTTGGTTGCCATGGCCAACGCTGGTGCCCACGACAATGGCAGTCAGTTTTTCTTCACGTTGGGACGAGCAGATGAGCTCAATAACAAACACACAATATTTGGAAAGGTAAATCTGAGGAGCTGGAGGTTTATATTGACTATACTAGAGTTCCTGCAATGTTTGTACTCTAGATTCAGACCAGAAGGAAGTCCTTAGACCCTGACGGGAATAATTTGTGTTTTTATGGTAATTAAGTTTTAGAGGCACAGCTTTTCTACACATTACTGAAGCTTCATTTAATCCCTCCTCTGTCTTTCTGTGCAGACTGATGTTTGCCTACAGATAGACTAAAAATATTTGAATGAAAAAATGTCTGCTGAATCAGCATTCACACTGTTGTTTTTGTTGTTATTGTTGTGTTTATAGTTCTCTTTTTTCTGAATGTTTTGTTTTTCAAATTGCTTTTGTATAGTTTGTGCTATTTTAACGATTCATTAGGGGTGTAAAGGGATACTCACAAGACAAGACGGGATCCTGCTTCCATTTGAACTTAAGATTTCAACAGTTTCTTTGAAATAAAAAAAAAATGCCACAAATTTAACTGAGTGGTGTATCTCCTGTCAGATTTTCCATAAGTTTCTGCAGACCTTAGAACAGTTCTTCAACATTAAACAACTTTCTAACTTTAAAGGTGTGGGGCATTTCAACTCTGGAGGCTCCAACATATTTTCATTAGGAATCCAAACAGTCTACTCCAGGGTTCCTGCAGATCCTTAAAAAGTCTTAAAAGTCATTAAATTCATCGATCCAAAAATAAGGCCTTAATTATCCTTAAAAGGTCTTACATCAATCTTTCAGAGGTCTTAAAAATGTTAACACGTCGTACATAGGATGACTGTAATTCATCTCAAATATTAAAATAATTGGTAACGTTTATTTTTTTTAATATTCACATGCAGATATTCCCTTTGACATCACTTCCTGTTACTTCACATGCAAATATCTCAACAACTGTCCATCTGAGCAATGTGACATTCATTTCACAATATGTTAATAATGTTGTCTTTCCAAAAATGCATTGATATTTCTTACAAAAAAATTAATGTCACAGACACTTTAAGGTTCCATCTTGGAGAAAGTCTGCCATACACTCAAGTAGCAAAGGCTCATGGGAAATTTCATAAATTGATAAAATATGAGTTTTTGTGGCCTTATAAAGTGCGCAAATCTGCATGTGGGGTTAAATCTGCTCTAAATATTTCTTGTTGTCATTTCATGTTCCATGTTTAATCCTAATAAATCAACGATAAAGTCAGCACCATGAATGAAAACTACCTTCACTTCAGCCCTTTTATATCGTCATTTGACCAATGGAAATACTGTGTTTTCACATAACAGGCACCTTGTAACTTTGGCAACTGTTGGTGGGCCAGTTCAAATGGCTTGGAGGGCCAAATTTGGCCCGCGGGCCCCACTTTGGGCTTCTCTGATCTACAGCAAATTAGGGTTAAGAACCCACTGTGGGTCCTAAAACTTCAGATTTTGTGTTGTTAGAGGATTTCCAGGAATTAAATTAATTTTAAAACTGATTGCTAAGAACATTTCTGCTATACTTAGATATGGATAAAAACATTTGATCTATTAGCAATATTTGAATACTTCAACCAAAAATACTTTGATCCCAAAGCTTCTGCCAGTTTTTATTTTTATGTGTTGTCATTTGTGTTTATTATGAAATTGGCCTTAACTTCAATTTCACTTGGCATTAAAAAGTCTTTAAAAGTCTTAAATTTAACTCTTTAACCCTGTACTCAAGGGCCAACCTTTTATATGAATAATTTCTAGATTTAATAAATAAATAGACATATTTTTTACATTTCTTATGTCTCTGAAAATATTGGATCCTCTAAGCTAATGTTATCTCCCAGCATCTAATACTTCCAACAGAACCAAGACCATACTGGTTCCTGTGCAGCTCACGGACCAGCAGGGTCACCCCACTTTAGATTTCTGGACAAACACACAATAGTTGACATCAACCCTGGGACAAAGGGTTATACCTAGACCCTGTGATGGAAACAGGCTAAGGGAGAACAGAATGATGCTATTTCTGTTTCCTAATTGCTTTAGCAGGAGCAGATTTATTCATTTTTTCACAGAGTAAAACCTCAGCTTTGAGTCCAGATTTATCCAATCATTTTCACTCTAATTCACACCTTCATGCCTGTGATCAAAGCAGTTTTCTTCTGAGACACACAAAGAGCCTATTTATTCTCTACAGACCTCCACATGCTCCATCCCAAGCAGAACAGTTGACATGCGATCACATGATTGTTCCATATCTCCTGCACCAGCCAACGGTTTTACGATAGACCCCATATTTGAGGAGGGGGCTCCTTTCAAAGAGGGGGTGTCAGGACATGCAAAAATGCTTATAAGTCAAAAACTGTTAAACATAGAAGCTTCAGATTTCTTTTGTTGTTTAGCTCTGATGAAGCTCTATCCATCAGGCCCACCAATCAGTGCCCCCGCCCCGGACCCCCCAATTTATCTTGAAAAGGGGTATCTGGACATACTGTACAAAAATGGTTATTGCTCAAAAACTATTAAACAAAAGGAGCTTCAAATTTNGTCAGAACGTCACTCAGTTTTGTTTAGGCTAAGAGAGAACACGATAACACACCAACTCTTTGTCAGCTTCAACCTTTCAGACTGAAATGATCAGAAAGTAGAAAATACAAAACTGAATCTAATATTCAATTAATCGTTTACAAAATTTCTTCACTGTTTTATTTTACAATTTTTGCCACCTTCCAACTTTTTCAGATTTGGGGTTGTAGGTTTCCATCATCTTTTATTGTTGTTTCTGTCCATATTATTTTACGTGTCATAAGTTGAAAATTGTGTATGTAAAAATATTCATTATAAGTAGCTCAAGTTTATGTCCTTTTGGTGTCATATTTTGACTTTAGTCTATGCCATATTAGTTTCAAAAAGATCAAGTGTGGGTATATTTGTACTTTTCTTAGTTTTTATATTATTTTAAAATGGATTTTGCCATTATGGAAGTCTCCTTGTAAGTGGAACGAATTTAAAAGGTAAAAAGAAAGAAAGTAATCTTTTAATTTTTGTTCCTTCAGACATTTAAGGGAAAAAGCAAAAGCAGCCATGATCTTTTGAAGGATGATCCCAAACTGAGTTCTGTTCCAGCTGTTGATAAGTATGAAAATAATTATTGCCCACCACCAAAACACATTCAGATTGTTTTCCCTTGTTTTCTGTGCATGTATTCATTGTCTGGTGTGTTAACAAGATATCTCAGGAACTACTGGATAAAACTCTTAGAAGAAGTACTGATAAGGATATCTGCAACTGGTTAACTTCAAGTCAAGCTGAGTCAAAATGGTTGCCACTAATTGATATTATTAAACACAAACATTGCTACAATCTAACCAGTTTTGTAAATACTGAACTGAATTCTGGTGTGATGGTAGGCGCGAGTCATCCTCATATTTCCAGCACTTATTGGATGCACAATATCTGTTTTTAAAATTTTGCCATTAACTATTTTAGTCAACTCTGTTAACAAAATATTTGGTAAAGCACTAAAGAATTTTATTGAAACTTTAATAAAAACAATCATTGAATGTACATTTACAACTGATTGATTTGTGGGTTTAACCCAGTTCAAGATGGCTGCCACATCCAAATGGCCCATTTGACAGATATTGAGCTAAAACTTGATGTGGCAGCAGCTGAGGTTCATCCCCAATACACATATAGATCTACACATTTATGTAATCTTTCATCTTGAAAGTTTAGCATTAACTGTTAACAGCAGATTAACTTGGGAGTTACCACATTTCAAAGATGGCCACCATATCTAACATTAGCCAACACAGAAATGGATGTATCTTAGTTCAGTTTACAGATACTGAGCTAAAGTTTGATGTAGTAATTGCAGTCAGTCTCAACAAATTACTGGAGAGCACCCTTCTACCCAGATCTCACAACAATCTCTTATAATGACATTTTTAAGGTTTCACCTCCCATAACTCTGTTTTATCTTCTTATAATGATTTTTCTTCAACACTTTGACATGAAAGGCAATGGGTGATAAGAATTCCTTCAAAGAAAGCTATAAATTGATTTAGTTTATCATTATTGAACAAAATATTTTTGCTGTTTAACAATTGGTTGTTGTTTTTTCTACTTTAAAGGGGCAGAAATGAACCTGGAAATAAAGCTGATGTAAGTAAAACTGTATCCACAAACACAGCCTGCAGTCTTAATTCTGTATTTTAATTTCTCTATTACTTGTCAGTCAGATGATGAGGCAGACATTGAGGATGATGAGCATGCAGATGAAGAATACGACTCAGACAAGAAAGAAAAGATGAGAGAACTGATCAGCCAAAAACTAAAGAAACAAAAAGGTGCAGAAAGGCCCAGTGAGGAGGAACCATCGAAGAAGAGCAGCCGCAGGTATGACTGATCATTTCAGTTTAATTCTTTGTTGATTCATCTGATCTGTTAGGAATGTTCAGAAACATCCAGCTGCTCATTGCTTTGCTCTGACTGCTTTAGCAGCATTATGATGTGTTATTTCACTTCACTTGTAATATCATGAAATGACCTGATGGTGGCGCTTCTGGACTGTAGAATATAGAGAACACACACCAAAGCTTTACAAGTGACACTACTATGTTGTGGAGACATAGATAGATAATAACATCCACAAAATGTTGTCTTTGTTTTGCTCACTTGCAGAACAGTTAATTTATAAGCATGTCTGTTAGAGCAGAGCTTTCAACCTGGATAAAATATAGAGTTGTCTTCTGTGCTTCTGATTACTTGAAATCACATTGTTGTGCTTCTACACAGCTGATTAAATCTTAATGTTAAGGAATCCTCGTGATACTTTTCAATAATAATTTACTACAATAAATTATAATTAATTTACTACAATAAATTATTATTAATAATATATGATTAGAACTCTGTGCAGCAGATGGATCTGAGTCCAGTGGTTTGGAGCTCTTCTGTGTGACTCTAGGTGTGACTGGGAGTGTGGGTGGTTTGTCTCTGTGTCTCTGTTGGACTGGAGACCTGTCCAGGAGTCTCTGTTGGACTGGAGACCTGTCC